AAGGCCCAAGATGTAAAAGACTTCTGGGTGTGGAAGAGAAGTGGTTAAGAGATGGTGGCATAGGAGAGGAGAATTGTAGACATACATGGAAGAAGAAGAAGAAATACACACAAAACTGAGGATGTCATTTATGCATATGAGAAACAGTATCACCTTGTTCATCTATGTACCACTGAATAGGAAGCCGAGGGCATTTGGAAATGGGCTGTCCTAAAGTATAACTTTTCACTGTCTTTGAATAGAGGACTTGCTAAGCAAATGTATGGGATTACAAAAAAAGCTTGCTAGTGATAGGGAGGAGAATCGTGTTTGAATTTCTTAAGAGAACAAATGGTTTTTAGGTACTTTAAAAGCACCCAGGTGGAAGGAAGCAACTAATTTCACTTGCAAGTCATGGTTTGAATTTATTAAAACAAGTTCCCTAAGTTCTTTCCTAGCATTACATTGGCTAGTATAATCTGGTGCCTGTATATATTTGAAGATTATAAAACCGCATTTCTCTATCAATATTCTATACATCATAATGGTCATAGAATGATTTATTTCATTTATTTAATTAATGGAAGTTTAACTGCGTATTCTATCCTCATCCCTTACTTCCCTATATGTCTTACAAGTTAAGGCACCTATGGTACAACTCTCATTCCAGTCAAGCGGTTCAGAATGGTCCCACTTAAACACCCTGTTCCAATGTTCCACAAAGCATGTAAAGTGTGATGATTTTCAGCTTAGAAAATATGGACACTGGAAGTCTATTTAAATCCCTGAATAGAACTAAAGCTAGGGCAATTCTAGGGTGAGGTGAGATAAGGTGTATAATGCCTTGTCACCCCAGTCACAAATAGCTTGTTTCACTAACCAGACCCTTTCTAGTAGTCTAGTAAGGTAGGGCGGCAAGGGAAAGCTAATCTGGTGTCCTTTACTCAAGATGAAGATAATGAAGCATGTTGGTACTTCTTTCAGAAGAATTTGAAAGTTTGAAGTGACAGGCAGCTATAGAGGGAGGCTGATGTGTTTATGAGGTAATTCAGCAGCTAAATTCCCATTCTGCTGTGATTTACAGTGACAGACATTCATTGGTTGTGTCACAGACCGCTGGTGAACTGAGTTTATCTCTGAACCAACCTACTGGTTCTTAATTACTACATTTGCATACACATTGTAATAAAGCACTAACACAAAAGGGTGATTTTCAGGTTAAAAATTCCCATACCACAGCTCTAATTTTCATGATCCTTGCCTGCACATTTACAGTCCTTCAAGGAAGGATCAATTCTGATTTGTTTGGGCTCTATTAGCCCAGGTTCAGGAAATAGGTAAAACGAAGTATTTTAGTTCTAGCCTGTAGGTCTGGTTCAGGGGCTAATTCAGTGACTGACCTTGAATTAGTTCCTTGTAGTCATAAAATAAAATAAAATAAAATAAATAAATATTTCATTAGTTTAAACATGTGCATATTTAAAACAACCTGAAAAGTTGCTGGTTCCTTCCATAGAATTGTAACTTTCTGAGAATAGGCTTAGAATGTGTAATGTGTCATGCCAGGGGGGAAAAGTCAACAATTTAACATAATTGCCCATTTATCAGTACTTAAAGGTTGCAGGAGACAGACAAAGAGATCAGTAGTATAGGTTTTTCTCCCTCTTATGGTTCCAGAGATAATCGGTGTGGAAGTGTTTTTGAAAAAGTAAAAGCACTCATAAATGTCAGGCTTTGTGATTACTGTTATTTTTAGTAATCACTACTGAGGTCTAGAATGGCTTAAGTATGCATTTGCTTTGTAACCAAGGTAGTTGAGAATGAACCTGATTTTTATGGAAATCTATCACATGCAATCAGGTTGACATTGCTCATTGGATGGTTAGATGTGATAAATTGCTATCTGCAATATTATCACTAGAGGTGACCCTGAAGGTCTGCAGAGATTTGTGACAGCATTAGCTATGTGACCTTCTCAAAGACACCACCATCTCTGGGTCTCACTTTCTCTCTTAGATGATGGTATATTCAACAGTCACTTGTCATGTTAAATGGGGATGGGATATAATAAAGAAGTGTAATTCTCAAGCCATTTTACTAATACAGTTAAAGCTCACTGATTTGGACTAACAGAGGGGAGGGGTTGTTTGAATGAAAAAATCCTGAATTACAAAATCTGTTTGAAGAATGACAGTTTTATAACTTTAAGTCTTCTTTGTAATTCAAACTCACTATAAAACATTGCCTTTGTGGAGGTCTTTGTGAGCACTACTTTAGCAGATTTATTTGTAATAAATATAATTATATCTAATAAATGCTTCCAACATTTGAAAAAAGTTTGTTCTCTTAAGGAAAAATTCAAATGACAATCTAGTCCAAACTCTTCATTTGCTTAACAAACCTCTCTTGGCTGCATCCCTGATAATATAAAGTTAGACTGTAGACTGGTTCCTGTCCAGTTTATCACAGATTATAAATTAGAGGTCTCCAAATTAATGAAGTTTCACTGCCTTTTCTACTTTCTTCTCCATCGATTTGTTTTTGGCATCACCACTAAATAGTGGTAAAACAGAGTCAAGTTCATCTCTTGCCCCTTCTCTTGCTCACTCTCAGAAAACAGCAGGTAGCAAGAAGGAAGAAAATAAAGGCAAGCTCGTTGGTAATCCAGAAACAGAATAAGCAATCATTGGATATGCCGCACTGATCATACTATTATCCATGGTTGAGAAAACAGTTGACTTATTTCAAAAGGTTGGCTGGAGGAATGACTGAAAAAGGTGATTTGAAGGATACCTGGCAAGTAGCACTATTGTCAAAGGAGTTGAAAGCATTTAAGATCTACTGAAATATTTTTCTATTTGCATATTGAAAATCATGTAATCTGGAAATTGTGGGTTGGCGATTAAGTTACTTGATAAATTTGCAGCAGTATCAGCTGAGGAAAAAAGTTGATTGCTGGTTGTAATTAGTAAATAGCTGGTCTAAAGTTTTATGGGTCTTCATGATACCAAAACATTTGGGAAAAAAGTGAAAATTCAGCCAAATGTGTGTAGATTTTTATGTAACATCAAACATTTGGTTATTTGAAAACTTCTGGGCACTTGGCATCATGTGGATGTTTTAGAGTCATCTTGAAACAGTCCATAGCTCCTTTTTTAACCATGCTGAGTATGAATGATGAATTCCTCAGAGCAATGCATCCAATCCAGCTCAATTTTCATTCCAAAACTCACTTCAATGATATAATTAGGGTCTCCGTGGCCTGCTATTAACACAAGAAAAAGACCAGGAAGAAGGTGCTAAATACTCTAGGCATCAGGCTAGCCATTCCAAAACTCAAATGGGCCAAAAGCTTGGCTCAACTGTCAATGTCATTAGTTCACATAGGTGGGAAAGGAAGTTACTGCTTTTTGACACATAGTAAAGCCATGATTAATTTGAATCCATAATGGATGAATGGAATTTTCAATACTCATTTTGTTTCATTCTTGGCTAACATTTTTTCCTTAAAATGCTTGTATTCACTTTCTTTCCTCAGGGAAGAAGCCTCTAATGTTTGAGGGTCAGTCCAGATGGAGAGAAGATATAGGAGACAAAGCTGAATGTGACCTAACCACAGGTCATCTCTTGGCAAGTGATTAAAAAAGTCAATTCCTTGCAGTCTTCTCTTTTAGTACTATTGCTGCTTTCTCATCAATGTGGAGTAGTGAGGGGAGCCTCAATTCAGTTAACTGGGGTACTGGTTAGGTGAGTTCTGGTTACTTAAGGTTTTACAATAAAAGACCTCGCCAATGCTTGGTAAGATTATGTACTGAATAAAGTTATTCTTAATTTTATTTCTTTGAATGTACTCTGTATTAGTGTTTCTAAACCCATATTATACTGCAGACTGGTAAACTAACTTTTCTGTCAGGATCCTGAGGAATGGAGAGGGAAAGAGAGGAGCAGAGGTGTAACCATTGTCTCTGAGGAGAAAAGTTTTGGCTTGCCTGTCTGCTGGCCTGTGGTTGGGAAACACTGTTCTTCACCTTAAGATGCCCATGATTCTTGGTTGTACAAGAGCCGATCTTACATGTTTCAATATAATTCTTATTCTCTTTGGGCCATGGAGAATTCTGTTTTCAGGTCCTCTCCTGTACTTACCCAATGTGTCCTTCCATCAGTTGGTAACATGGCTTCTGATCTTGCCTCCATTTCTTGTTGCTTAGAGGAAGGCTATTCATTATTACTAGCCCCAAAGAGCATGAAGGAGTCAAAGAAATGCCAAGTAAGATGGGTTTTCTCATGATGGCAGCCTGGATAACAATTTGACCTACCTGAACCAAGAACATGGCTAAGGAAGTCAAATCAGGTATTCATACACACAGAGTATAACAGGCGACGCACTTGTTTAAATATACAAAATGTCTGCAAAATATATATATGAGGTGGCCTACTGAAGAAAGACCCTATTTAACTTGAAACCTAGCTTGTTATTTGGCTTTCAAGTTAAGTGGGGCCAGCTTAAATAGGCCATCACATATAGAAAACAACATCTCATCACTCAAACACATAACTGAAGAAGCCAACTCTAATCAACCAGCCAACATCTGTGAGCAGCATCATGCGTTAGGGGGCAAAAAGAGACTGTAACCTGACTTTTTAATAATGAATTTGATTTCTCACACCACTCAGTTGAGGCAGGCGGGGACAGTCTTAAGGAAAGCCTTGGGCTCTTGAAAGCCTAGGACAGTGAAACCCACACCATAGCCTTCATAAGGCAACCAGTCTGGTGTGTGGGGGGGAGGAAGGGGTGTGGATAGGGAGCCTCTGTCTGGGAGTTTAAGAAGGGACCCAAGTTAGATCAAAAATGCAGGCAGCGCCCTGAAGTCTTTCTGGTTCCCAAAGCTGCCAGGCAGGGGAATAACCTGGTCATTCCACTTTATTGTGTGAGTCTTGTGCTCTCTCCTCAATAATAAGATAACAGTCTTGCCGATTACTCGTCACTAAGGGTACCCGGTTGTGGTGACATTGAGGCTGACCTTGGAGTCACCGCCCCCGCTGCCGCACTCTCCTTTGTCGTACCACCATTTGTTTTTCAATTTGTCCAAGAGGCCTTGCTCATTCAGTTTTAATACTGCCAGGTTAACAGCATTTCTTGAAACGATAAAACATAACTTGTAAGAAAATGCACAAATGCTTAGGAAATCGTTAACGTATAAAAAGGAGCACAAGAGGACAAATTGGCTAAATTTCACAGAACGTGGAGCTATAAAAATGTCTGTACAGCAAATACAGGGTTAAATATTGGAAGGTGGCATGGAGGATAACATTTGCTCAAAACTGAAGTGTGCGGGATGGGGAAATTGTCTTTGAGAAAAAAGTAACAAGAACACCACATCCATGCAATTAACATTCGTCACATATGGCACCATAACTTGGCTTTTACCATTTAAATTGAAAAAGCCGTTGAACTGTAAAATTAAAACAGCAACAAACAGTCAGAGAGGACAACACAGAGAAAGAACATTAAAAAAAAAAAAAGATGCATTAAATAGATGAAACCATAATTTACCGTCTTATTTAACTCCATGGAATATTGTAGATTTTAAACTTTTAAGTTACCTCAAAATCCACAAGAAAGAAAATGACAACAAAATGCATCAGGGTAGGTGGAATACTATAACAACACGGATATTGTTATATTATTCCACCCACCTTAATGCTGAGCCTTTAGGGGTTGCCACACCATAGCCTTTGGAATCCAGATTTCCACCAACTTTCATCGTATCACATGGTTTTCTCTGCTCAATGTACTCATTCATGGTTGACTCCAGCAGGAAGGCGAACTTTCCCTTGGACTTCCGCACTCGGGCCACGCCGTCTGCTGTTGTTTTGGTAAACACAGATGGCTCTGCTGATTTCATATAAGACCACATTTTCTCATAGACAGCAATTTTGGACCTCTGCAACAGAGATAAAACTTCTTAGAGCTACTAGATAAGAGGCCACAGTGCACTGGGTTTCAAACATTTTTTATTGCAACCCACAGTAAGAAAAGCATATTCCTCTGCAACCCAGTAGATATATTCATACATATATAAACATGGTTTCAAAATAGATTTCTCAAACCACATTCATCCTTGCTTTCTGTGATGCTCTCTGATATTTTCTAGTCTATCCTAATTCACTTAAAAATGCTGATCAGAATCCACTAAATTGATTTCATGGCTCCACTAATGGGTTGCAATCTAGTTTGAAAAACACTTTCTTAGTTCAAGCTTTGTCTCAATACAGAAATCTCCATGACAATATCCTGCTATGTGATTATCATTTACCTGCCTGAAAAAAGACCATTGAAAGGGAGTGTACAACCATTTTAGTCAGCCCCCTCCAGCATGGGGTATTAATTATTGTAAGAAAGCACTTTCTTATTTTGAACTGAAATTTGGTTCTTTATAACTCCCACCCTTTAGTACTACCCACTAGAGCTATACAAAGCAATTCTGTTCCTTCTTTTACGTGATATCGCAAGGCTGTTATTATGCCCCTCCTCATCTCTTCATCAGGCTAGCTCTACCTACATGTAATAGTATTTCCTACATGTAATGCTACTGTTCACAATTTTGGTCTTTCTTCCCTAGGCACATTCTAGTTAGCAATGTCTCTTAAATTGGAGTTTCTAGAAATAAATGTGACCATCCAGATATATGAGAAAGACAGAATAAAAATGAAAATTACTTTTTGTCACTGGAGCATTATTTTCTATCAATGCTGTGTGAGTTTGCATGAACATATTTAGTCTTTCATTCTTCTTTTCACAATTTTAAAGCACTCTACTGGAGGTGTGAAGAATATAACCCAGTGAACAGAGTCCCTCTGTCAACTCAGGTTGAGGCCAAACTAAAACTGTTAATTCTTTCTACCAAGTCAAGTTTCCCTCATCTTTACCCTTTTGAATTTAATTCCATTAAACTTTATCTCTATTTAAGTGGTCCTTAGAACATGTACTAAATTCTTGTAGCTCTATGTTAAATATTCTGGAGAATATAAAGGAGGCATGGTCTCTATGACTCCATGACTTCCAATTCAGTTGAGATTTAGGTCCCGAGAAGTGAAAACCTTAGAGAAAAATTCTAAAGTAATATTTGACCAAAAGGAAGATAACATGGTAAAAATTATAAACATATGCCATGTTTCAGGTGTCCTTTTATGGGGTATACTGGTCCCTGTCTCAGTTTTTTTGGTTGTTTATTTAGTTGCTTTTCTCTGGACTTTGGCCAGCTACATTGCATCTTTTTTGAGATGTGCTTAGACCTGCTCAAATAATTCCAGAAGGCTGGAACTCCCAGGGCTATGACCGTGGGAACTATACATTGTGTTTATGGCAATCAAATCCTTACTGAGGCCCTCACTGAGTCACTGAAATGGTTCACTGAGACTGGAGCATGAAGAACAGAAAAAAACAAAAAGGAAGCCAAAATGGCTGAAGCCAAATGAATAAACAAGTTTGGTAGAAAAAGAGCTTAGGAGAATGATCAGAGGTCATATCTATTAGGACTCTCTAGGTCATGGTAAAAAGTTTGGATTTATTCTACACATGATAAGGAACTATTGGAGAATTTGAGGCAGGATGTGATAAGATCTGAATTAAAAATTTAAAGGATTATTCTAGCTATTATATGGAGAACTGACTAAGGTGGGCCAGAGTGGAAACAAGGAGATTGTTAAAGAGACTTATAGTCCAGGGGAGAGATGGTTGTGGCATGGACTAGGCTGGGAGGAATGGAGGTGGAGGGAAGAGGTTGGATTCAAGATGTGTTTTAGGGAGAAAGTAAACAAGTCTTGCTGATGGACATTTTCACCTGATTGTCCCATAGACACTTCCAGATTAAACATTTCTAAACCAAATATATTATCTTCCTTGTAAAGCCTGGCTTTCCCTCTAAATTCTATCAGTAAAGCACCTAACATTCAAGCCAGAACATTTTGTTTTTACTTGTTATGCCATGTTTATTCTAACATAGAAATGCCTGTGGAATCTGTCCTTTTGTATTCTTTCCATTCTCATTACCATTGTCCTTGGACAGGCTCCCATCAATTTTTGGTCTGGACTACATTGCCTGCTAACTGATCTACTGGTTTCGTCTCTCTAGTTTATCCAGTGATCCTTCCAAATGTAAATCTGATACGCTACTTCTTTGTTTAATATTCTCTGATAGTTCCCTGATACCTACAGGACAAAAATGCAACTTCTTGTGTATGAGTCTTTATGATCTTGGCTACATTCTCTTATGATCCAGTCATACTGGATTACTATTCACTGTTCACTGAAATATGCTACACACTTTCACATGTTATGCCTTTGGTTATGCTTTTGCTTCTGCCTGAATTATCCCTATTCATCCTAAAAGATCCAGAGAAAGTATCATGTCTACTGTGAAATCTTTTCTGACTCTCCTCTGCCCTCATCAAAGTGCTTTCTTGGCTAACTGCCAAAAGGCTTTGCTCATACCTTTGCTAAAGAGCTTGTTATATTGCATTAAGGTGAGCTGACCTTTTATCCGTATTCCCCATGTTACTTGGGTGTTCTTGAGGACAAAGTCCATGCCTGATTCATTTTTGTAGCCCTCTTGGCAGCCAGCACAGTGCCTGATACATGGTAGGCGCTCAAGATATATTTCCCTAATAACTGAAGCTTAGGCCTGATCAGGGTGACAACTAGATTGTTGGCCAAAGAGATCAGAAGCTTGGTGAAAATGGATGCCAGCATTAGTTTTATAGCATTGTAGAATTCTAGAGCTAAAGTTACTCTAAAGATCATTGGGCCAAATTCCCAGCTAAACCAATCAGGATATATGTTTTATAATCCTTTCTCCCCAATTATCTTCCTTTGATGTACACACCAATAACTTTCCCCCTAATAATCAAGGCCTTCTAAGATCAAAACCTCACCCATTGACATTTATGCTCATTTCATATCACATTATTCTCATCTAACACAGAAAACAATTTCTATGCATCATAATGAAATATATTCTCAATGACTTTATTTCAGCAGGAATTTCCTAGCCAGTTGCTCAAAGAATTAAAAAAATAGTAAATAATTCAGATGCACAGAAAGATATAAAAAATAATGTTAAGACCACCTGTGTACCTGCAACAAAACTTATAAAACAACATTATGAAGTTAGTTGAAGTCTGCCTATCTACCCCTCCCTAGTTGCATACTCTTTCTTCTAGGCCAAAAGTATCCACTATACTGAATTTGATCTTTATCATTTCTTTGCATATATTTATATTTTTATGAGAATAAACTTAGGAAATATAGTAATTAATATTCTAATAACTATGTATGGTGTCAGATGGGTATGAGATTTATTGGGATGATCACTTAGTAAGTTATATAATGTCTAATCACTGGGGTGTACACCTGAAACTAATATATTGTATGTCAACTGTAATTGAAAAATAAAATGATTAGAATAAACTTATCTACTTATCTCATTTGTAATGTCTGCATAGCATTTCAACTGATGGATATATCATAATTTATTTACCCATTTCCCTATTGAAGGACACTTAGGTCAGTTTCCCTTTCTTTCTTTCTTTCTTTCTTTCTTTCTTTCTTTCTTTCTTTCTTTCTTTCTTTCTTTCTTTCTTTCTTTCTTTCTTTTTCTTTCTTTCTTTCTTTCTTTTTCTTTTCTTTTTTCTTTCTTCTTTTTCTTTCTTCTCTTTCTCTTTCTTTCTGCATTATAAACAACACTGAAGTGTGGATGTGTCTTTGTGCCCATACAAATAGGTATACTGTGTTTTTCATTTTGGCCCAATCAAACCTTAGTGACAAGGGGAGGGGTTTAGGACAATTAGTCTCTTATATTATTTACAAACAGGCCATTGCTTCCAAAGAGAAATTTATAAGCCAAGGGCAAATGGGTCCATGAGTTCTGATCTGAGTGCACTATAATTTGGACTCATTTACATCATCATTTACTTGAACTCTTTGATTGCTGATATAGGTTAAAGGGTTTACTCCTTTAGGTAATGATGCATTTCTAGGAGAATGAATGGGCAGTGCTTGAAGTGTGCATTTTCAATGTGTTTGGTGTACATGCAGCAGATATTAATGAATGCAGTAACTGCAAAGTTGGTTAGTGGCAGAAATGATTGAGCCCTGGTTGATAACTGAATTCTGAAGACAGGGGGGAAAGAAATGGCTCATAATTGAGAAAAAATAAGATGAGACATTTATCTTCCTAACTAGTATTTAAGTGACAGTATAACATTCAGACCAAAAAGAAGAAAAATATCTGTAGCATTTCTTTCTTTCTTTTTGCTTTTTTTGCATTCTGTCTCATTTTGGCTAAAATACTGAAGGCAATAAAAGGGATTGAATCTCAGCTCAATCATCTGGGAGAAATTAAAAAAAAATTATGGGCAAGATGTGTAATAACAAGTTCATTTTTCTCCAGCCTGCCACGACTCATTTATTTCACCTCACGGAGCACCATTTTGTACCTAAGAAGGAATAAATAGTGGTTATGCAGAGAGACCAGAAGAAATTCTCTTAGAACTGCTAGATAATTAGCAAATAAAATCCCAAAGGAGAAATACATGATTGGAGGAGCAGCAGATTAATCCAAAAACAATAGATAGAGCAGAGCTCTAGCATTCAGGATTCAACAGTCACTGTCCCAACTATTTGTCATAAATGATTAAGGTCAACAATATGGAGAAATTTGCCTTTTGTTGAAGTAAAAATTTGAATTGGGCCTAGTAAAGCTGTTGAATGGAACCAACTGATTAGTGAGTGCATTTAGCCCACCACTTAGACCTTGTATCTTTTTACAGTGGTGTTGCTCACTGTTCATCACTGTGCATGAAAGTATTCCTCTGTAGACCCAGTTGAGTACAAGGTAACTGCATAGTGCAGTGTTTGAGAGTGTGAAGTCACACTGCTTGGGTT